GCAGGAATGAGGTAGCTCTTTTAACTCACCAGGGTGTGATGACCTCAGTGAGACGAGTATTGTTAGCACTCTTTAAAAAGGTATTTTTGAACCGTGTTATTTAGAAGTCATTGCTGTTCTTTGTTGCAAAAGAAGTTTTGCAAGAAAATGGCCTTTATTCCCAGTGAGTTCATCCATAGTGGTTTGTAGGGCATGCATTTTCCCCGGGATGCCATACCATGAGCAACCTGGTATTTTAGGGGAGGATTGGCCCAAAGCAGCGTGGGTATGGGGCAGGAATGAGCATTGCTGGGAGAGAGTGGAAGAAGCCCTAAGTGTAGTTGAGTCAGCAGAATCCACCTTTTATTTCAACAGAATGTTTGGTTTCCCTTTGGCTTTGGGGTAAAATCTTGAAAACTAAGGTCTTGTCAAGATTTAGAAAAATTTTGTTATTCACAGGCTATGTGGTTGCCCTCTTTGTGTGTAGGTGTGTGTTTTCATGATTTTTGTAACTGCCCTTCTATAGGAGAAACCTACACCTACGACTGGCAGCTGATTACTCATCCTAAAGACTACAGTGGAGAAATGGAAGGGAAACAGTCCCAGATCCTCAAACTATCCAAGGTGAATTTGCCTCCTGTCATTTGCAGGGGTGGGGTAGACGTGTTGACCATTTTCTAACATGTATAATATAGAATTTTCTGTCCACACTTAACTTAGGAACAGTCTTTCAGAAGCGAATCCTCCAAAAGTCTGGCTGGCTGACATCCAGTATTTGTTAGTGTATGATTCTCAAATTTTCATTTATGGTGAGAATATTGTATAAGCATAGTGGTGATAGCTGAAAATACACACTAAACAGCTTTTAAGGGTAACATAAGGATTTTAGAATTTGGGAGATAAGCTAGGTTATTTGTGGCCACTTGACTGTGTAAATTGGCTCAGTCTTTTTTTGGGATTCAGTGTAGTTATTAAGAGCCATAAAAATGTTCATATTCTTTGGCCAAGCAATTGCTTTTTCCTTCCTTCCTTCTTTCTTTCTTTCTTCCTTCCTCCCTTCCTTCCTTCCTTCCTTCCTTCCGTCCATCCTTCCTTCCTTTCTTTCCTCTCTTTCTTTCAACAACTGTTCATTGTACACTAGTTATGTGGCAGGTATTGGGGATTTACTAGTGAATTAATCATAATATTAACATTTAAGGAAAATACAGTCTAGTAGGTGCTACTGACCAGAAGCAGGTAATTATAACAGGAGTACACTAGGTCAGTGCATGGGGTATTGAAGTCCTGGGGAGTTAGAGTAGATTTCTTAGAGTTGGCTTAGCTGGGTCATGAAAGGTGACTGGCTTACTGGGTAAAGGGTGGAGTGGTAATACCCCAAGCAGAGGAAGCAGTATGTCCACTGGGCCAAATAATAGAGAGAAATGTGGGAAAAGGGGAATTTTACGTGGTTCATCCTGACTGGACCCCATGGTATGAGAGGAACAGTGGCACAAGTAAGTTGGAGAGATGCAGGTGCCAGATTGCACAGAGCCTTGTGTGTGCCAGAGTGAGGCCTTTGACTCTTATCCAGAGGGAATATGGCACCTTTGAAAGGTTTTAAGCGGGAGAATGACGTTCAGATTTTCAGTTTAGAAGGATCACCCTGACTGCAGGTTGGAGGAGATAAGACTCAAACTAGGGAGACCAGGGAGGAATCTATTGAAAAATGTAGGTGTGAGATGATAATAGTCTGAGTGAAAAAAAACTAAATAAATAAAATAAAACTTAAAAACCACCTATTGAGCTCTTACCATGTGCCAGAAACAGTGCTAATTGTTTTATGCAGTTATTTCATTTAATCTTCCTAACAACCCCAAGATGTAAATATTAGTATTTGTTTTACAAATGACGAAAATAAAAATTATAAAAACAAAGTGGTTTGGCCAGAGTTCACAAAGCTATTAAATGGTAGATTTGAACTGGAACTTTCCATCTCTAAGCCCATGCTCTTAACAACTGTGCTATGATGAATGGTTAAAAACTAAGGTGATGACAGTGTGAATGGGGAGAAGTGGGTGGATTTGAGAAATATTATGGAGGTCAACTTGGTGATCAATTAATTGGGTGGAGGTGTTGAGGAAGAGAAGTCCAGGATAATTTTAGCCTTTGGTTTAGACACTTCATTGGATGTTGGTATATTTGTGGTTATATTCACTGAAATGAGGAACATAGAAAGAGGAGCAGGTTTGGAAGAGGTTGGCAGATGATTAATTCATGTTGGGACAGAGTGAGTTTGAGGTACCTGTGAAACATTTGAGTGGAGGAGCCAATAAGTAGTTGGGGGTAAGGGGCTAGAGATCAGGATGCAAGTCTGGGCTCGAGAGGTAAATTTGTACACCAGCGTCAGATAGTTGACAACTGAAGCCATGAATAGATGAAAACATCCAGAGAGGGTGTAGAGTGAAGTAATAAATGGATTGCAATTGGAATCCTGGGGAACACTGTCATTAAAGGTATGGAAGGAAGAGGAAATGGAAGAAAATGAGGAGTAGGCCTAGAAGTGAAAGCCAAGGAAGGAGAGCGTTACAAGAAGAAGGAAGTGGTCAGAAATGCTCCATGCATTCAATTAGCGTTTACCCAAAGGAGATAATTCAAAAGAAAGAAAAAAATCATTTTACCTGAATGATGTTCACCACAGCATTAGTTATAATAGTAAAATTTTGGAAACATCCCAAATATCCAACAGTGTGAAATGTTTATGTGAATTATGGCACATTTATTCATGTACTATTCTGCAGCCATTAAAATGACTATTTAAGAGACTGTTCTAATGGGGAAAGTGTTCATGCTAAATGAATGGAAGAAAGAGTAATAGAAAGTTTGATATATTGTGATTTTAGCTAGGCCCTGAATACCACTGAAATATGAGCTCCTCAAAGGTAGGGACCTTATCTAATTCCTCTCCAAACCCCAAGCCTAGGACAATGACCACATATAATTGATTCTCAATACATGTTTGTTGAACAGATGTACTGTTTATAGCTCTTTTTTTGGATGTGGTAAAAGATTAGAAGGAAATAAGAAAAATGTGATTAATTGGGGTGTTAGGACAATGGGATTGTGGGTGTTATTTTTTATGTTCATACAGTTAGTGGAAATCAGGAGGGGGAAATATTCAGATATTTGAGAGCTGTTTGGTGTTTTTACAAAATGTTTTTCTTTGCAGAGATGATTGTTTTAATTTCATAACTGTGAAGTAGGATGGTTGGGCCCTTAATGTTCTTCTGAAAAGAAAATGGGAGTACAGAGATGTTGAAATCCCTTCTGTTGTTCCGAGTCAGCTAGTAATAAGATTCACATGAAAAGCTATGGTTTTTTAGTTTATAATTCATTGTTTCATATCTTCAGCTAGTTTACTTTCTCCATTTTGGAAATGGTGTAAGAAGAGGAGAATTCAAGAAACAGCATTGGAAAATTCAGATATATGTGTTATTTTAAATATTATGCTGCTGTTTGTGGTTGTCTAAAAGATCTTCTCTCACTTCTGCAGCTCACTCCAGGCCTGTATGAATTCAAAGTGATTGTAGATGGTCAAAATGCCCACGGGGAAGGCTATGTGAATGTGACAGTGAAACCAGGTATGTTACCCAGCCCTGGCCATGTCTCCACTGCTCCTTCTGCAGGATTCCCAAGGAGATGGAGATTTGATTTTAGGGGTTTTAAATTCTCATTCTTTTTTTGTAATATATTTATGTATTGGGCAATTCCTAGTTCACAAAGCTTGTTTGTTGTCCACCTCTACTCAGCTTGCTTGAAAGCAGGAAGTTGCTGCTATAGTACTTGTGATGTAGTAGATAGGACATGAGCATTGAAAGAATGCGCAGGGCATGGCCTTAGCAGTCGTCAGGTTTAGAAGAGGCTTTAACACTCCCAGGTGTCTTAGGTTAGAATGGCAACCTGATCTTGTGACTTTACCATTTGGTGATGCTCAGCTCTCACTTAGGTAATGGAAAATGACTTATGCTCCACCCAGATATGGCCTGCTTCTCCTGTAATTTATAAAGACCCTCTTCCAATTTCTTGTGGGTCATGTTCTTGCAGAGCCCCGTAAGAATCGGCCTCCTGTTGCCATTGTGTCACCACAGTTCCAGGAGATCTCTCTGCCAACCACTTCTACAGTCATTGATGGCAGCCGTGAGTACTTGTCTAGGCATGTGATGTTTCAGCAGAGCCTTCACTGTGTACTGGTAGAAGGTTTGGGGCCAACTGTGTCTGCATACTGTTTAGGCCAGTCCTCTTGGCCGTGTTAGGGGAAGACCAACCATCTGAAGCAATTGATTAGGAAGTAAAAACCAGACAGGCCCTGTTTAAAATCCCCATGTGGGGCTTCCCTGGTGGCGCAGTGGTTGAGAGTCCGCCTGCCGATGCAGGGGACACGGGTTCGTGCCCCGGTCCGGGAAGATCCCACATGCCGTGGAGCGGCTGGGCCCGTGAGCCATGGCCGCAGAGCCTGCGCGTCCAGAGCCTGAGCTCCGCAACGGGAGAGGCCACAGCAGTGAGAGGCCCGCGTACCGAAAAAAAAAAAAAAAAATCCCCGTGTGGCCTGTTTGCAGTAATAGTTCTGCTCTGAGATGGTAAGAAAGTAGGATTATTCATGTATTTAGCATTATTTTAGTTGAAACTTGCTGGTTTTCAAATTCACTTGCCTGGAGTTGCCATCCTTAGCTATGGAAACAAAGCTCCTTCCTATCATGACAAGATAAGTAACTGAGAGTCTTGACAAAGAACTCTCACTCAGCTATCACTGCCTAGCAAGATTCTCGTTAGCCTTCTCCTAGAGAGACTCACAGAATGGAGCACACACCCCTGCCTGGGCCCATTGTTAGCATGTCACCCTTCAGAGTAGTGTCACCTGATGGGTGACATGAGGCGATTTCTGGGCCTTGGCTCTGTGTGTGCAAGAGGTTTCGGGCCTGTTGCCCTCCAGCATTGGCTTGGTCTCTCTGGAGGCCCGTTAAGGCCCTGTCACCCCTGAGTGTCTTGGCACAACAGGGGCTTGTGGCAGAGGCAGCTGCTGCTTTAGCAGAGGGATCTCTAGTGGGTTAAACCTTTCTTGTAGGTGATTCTGGCCAGAAGAGGAGGACAGAAGAGTAGCAGGCCAAGAGGAGGAGGCAGAATAGGAAGAAACACTTGTGAGAGTGGCAGAAAGAGTTCACTTAGTACCATTTTATTTTATATTTTTGATTAGATCAAAGTTGAATAATATGTAAAGGTACACAGTGAAAAGAATCACTACCCTCCCGGTCTCCCAACTATCCAGTTTTCCTCCAGGCAACCAGTGGTATTATCTTATGTACCTTTCCAGAGATATTTGATGCGTATATAAGAAAATACATATACAGTCCTTATGACAACACATTACGTGCACTGTTACGTGCAGTGCTTGTTTCTATATGTTGGAGAATTTTTCTGAATTAATACATGCAATACTTCTTCATTCTTTTTTTCCTTTAATGATTATATAACCTTCCATGATATGAATATATGATTTCATTGTATGAATATGTACTTGTTTTCAATCTCTATTGATGACCATTTAGATTATTTTTGACTTGCTATTACAAATAACATTATCGTGAATAATCTTGTAAGCATGACATTTAACACAAATATTAAATGTCCTACAGATACACAACACAAGTGCAAGTAGATCTGAAGGATTAAATTCTTAGAAGAGGAATTGCAGGGACAAAGATGAATTTTCCCAAATTGCTCCTTATAGAGGTTGTATCAATTTATGCTTCCACCATGACTCATGAGGGGGCCTTCTTACCCACATAATGTGTTGTGAAACTTTGGTGTTTACCAATTTGAGAGGTTAAAAAATGCTATCTCAAGTGTAATTTAAATTTGCATTTCTTTTTTAAGTGAGGTTGAGTATCTTTTCATGTGTTTAAGACCTTTTGATTCTCCTTTTCTTATATATATACTTAATACAGTAGCGTTTTAACCAGAGGTTGCCTGTGTTGGAGTCCTTGGAAAACTACACAGTGGAATATTCATAGAGAGGCAGAATGACCCAGTAATCCGAGGGAAGAAACACTCTGGAGAGATAGTCTGTAATTTCATGAAGTTTTCCTAGCCTCAAATCTCTGGGTAGTTGCCCTGGTTTGTGTAAACTGGATAAGCACTAAGACCCAGTACTCTCATGCTGTAACTGATATTTCTTTATGGTCAAGAAAGCACGGATGATGATAAGATCGTCCAGTACCATTGGGAAGAACTTAAGGGACCTCTGAGAGAAGAAAAGATTTCTGAAGATACGGCCATATTAAAACTAAGTAAGCTCGTCCCTGGGAACTACACTTTCAGGTAAATTTGGATCCTTCAAGTTTACCATAGGCCATTTTTTTCCTCTTACGGGTTTTACATTCTTATAGGAGTCACTCTGACAGATATCAAATTCCCTGTAGAGTTGGCTGATAATATAGCCTTTGGTTCCACTGGTTCTTTGAGCCATGTTGTAACTGTGGTCACAATAGTGATAACTTTTTAGGGCAAAGGTCCTTGCGTAATAGATCAGGATCCACACAGGTAATCCTTCTCAGAGCCTTATTTGGCATATATCCAAACCTTTTTTTAGAATTTCTGTCATTAAGTGAAAGGGCCCATCTTCCTTTGCCTTTTCTCAGGAAAAATCTAGAAGGAATCTACTCTCATCTCTCCCCTTTGGGAAATGCTTCCTCAACTTAGGATATATCAAAATCTTACTTTTGACTTAGTGGTTTATTTGAATATGACTTGTAGCATCTTTCTCTGTCGGGGCTTTTCAGAGAATTTGATTCAAAGTCAGTTCTTTTGGGAACTAGTGTTGATATACTAGACTGTGATTAATGAGTGTGAGGCTGACCGTAGAGTAATCCTCCTTATATTTGCATTATTCACTGTAGGCTACGAAGCATTCGTACATGAGTGTCACACAAACACCATATGTACACTATACCATCCTCATTTTACATCTGAGAACAGTGAGGCTTGGTGTATTTAGTAACTTCTCTGAGGTCACACAGCTAGAGCTGAAATGCAGATTTTCTAATCCCCAAGTCAGGACTCATTCTCCTCTGCTCCTTGACTTGGCCTATATGTATTTTGTTTATGCTTCCTTGAATGCCCTTCTCAATCTGTTGGGACTCCGCCTATCTTTAAGAACCTCCTCAGTTTTCTGTGAGGCTCTCTGAGATCCCTCCAGAGAGGAGAGGGTATGTCCCTCCTCTTTCC